ATTCATTTGTTTGATAAGCGTATCACGTGGAAGGTAATCAGTAATTTATTACATGAAGATGCATAAAATGAAATACTTCTCATAAAGTAATCATAATGTATTTCTTGAGTAGACGGCTTAATGGTTTGATAAATCCTGTGGAGCTGACTCATAGGATCCGTTTGTTGCTTACGAATTCAGAGAACTAGACTGTAAGGGACTATTGAAACTGAGGTTAAGTACCCATGATTTAGCGTTACTTTGGGCTTCACTTCTATCGCATCAGAGACTACCTGAGCTTGTTAAGTCTCCTTTATTTTTGTCCTATTACTTGGTTTCTAATGGCACTCAAAATGTATCTGGCAAATGGAGGACGATTAAAATATCTGTTGCTGTTTAGTAATGAACTGTCGAATAAGCAAATAAGTATTTATTGCAAAACTTAACTTTTTATGTCTCTGTTGAGTAGTAATTATCTGAAACATGTAATTTTCCCAATTTATCTCTACCGTGGGCCTCAAACGTAATAGGTTTCACATATACTTGTTACGTCTCTTATGCACGATTTGTCCACGTGTTTAGTCAAACAGTTTGTCCCTTTCAACCTCGTACAATAGAACATAAAGTCTGATGCTTACAATCTTTGTATTCTTTCAGTCTGAGTTATCTAAATGTCCACAACTCACCATAATTTATAAAATGAAACAATTGCTTTTATATGGGTTATATTTGTGTGTTTGCGTGTTTGAACAAAATAATCCTAACGTTCTACAGGGAAGTCTAATTCGAACTTCTTCAGGAAAATAATCCAAATTAAATACCAAAGACATATAAGTGAAATCCCAAAATATTTACGTAATCTGCGTGTCCAATCGTCTTCATATAGTCATATCAGTAATTCGGTTACACGCGATAGAAACTGAGCATAAAATTGACTATGATGAGACAAAGGTCCTACAAAAAGGTATTGGGTCGTACCAAGATAGATCTCCTGCATCTATAAAGAAAATCTAAATAGCTTGAGTAAACGAGATAGAGTACAGTTAACTGCCAATTGGTAATTATTTATTGGTGAATAGAAAGAGAGAGTCTAGCATTTACCCTCAACATCATTCTGATATACATCATCTGTGCATCAATAAATACATACTATTTAAATTTATTTGATACTTTATAATTATTATCACCATTATTGGTGCTACTCATTTCCACTTTATTCTGAAAAATTAATAAAAATTCTGTTAATACATGGAGGTTGCTGGTTTGTACCCTGTCATGGCCCAGATTTTCATTTCACCTTCAATCATCACCCAGTATCAATAGAAATATGCTAAACCACGGCCATCTCGTATAGTCAAATTGATAATACTAATTTATCCCTCATAACCAACCGAAATGACACCTATCCGCCTCATGTGCTGTGTCATGCTTAGATACAACATTGTTCAATGACTACACCGTCGCCTGGATCCCTTTTTTAAATCGTATTTACAATGAAGGGAAACAGGCAAAACAACACATAAATAATTCATACAACAAGAGAAATACAATTTCTTACTGAATGATTCGTAATCATGTTTTAGGAAAGCAATGACCACACGAAGTGCAGTGAACAAGGAGATTCAGTACACTTTTTTGAATTCAATTATGTCTTCGACGTTATACTTTTGACTTTTTCCAGAAAAAAGTTCAAACCAGGCTTCCGTGAGAAACTTTGGAATTATTTTATTCAAATATGCTGAAAACTAAACAAATACAACCCATATGAAGACAATTTATGTCTTGTTTTGTTGGACTATATAAAGGGAACTAATTGTGTTTATATAACCTATGTTTAATGTCAACGTTTTACTCGGCGCCCAATGTTTGCGATACTATTTGATCAAATCTTGATCGCAGTTTATATTTACTGTTTTTAATGCATGGAGAAGGGGATAGTACACAGTAATTGATTCCATTCAACATACAATTATTTCAGAATCAGAACTCGTAGAGAAATGAGTGAGATATCGGTAAAGGTTTTCTGAACCCTGATATAAAACAGTGCTATGAAACAAGTCCTAAGTAAAATATCTTTCAAAAGAAATGAAATAATACTACCGTTCGTCCTTATCTGAAACTCATGTTTTTTCTTTTGTTCTGTCAGTATAGCACAATTACATGATCATTTTAACAAGTTCACTGATAAATATTTTACCTACTTATTTAGAGTTTGCTTGTTAATGGGAATTAGGATGAAGAACTCTGACTGAAGATCATGCCAAACATGCAAGTTTGTTGTCTGTCGGAGTGCTTTCACTAATTTTGTAAGCAAAAGACATTTATGATGGGTATCTTCGATATATCCGCTGGTAGGCAAAATTTTAAGTAAAGGTGAAAGATTTTATTTCGGAATGCCAACATTACTTAACTGTATATAGGTTATCATGATAAGGTATACTTTAGTTTGTACTAACTTTTTAATTGTTTTTATTCGGACGGCTTCGAATTTGTGAGAAAGGGGTTTTGACGTTTCTCATTTGATCTAGAAAGTCGAAGCCTATTGATGATGTGTCTGTTCGTGTACTTAGTGCTTATATAAGCACTCTGATATTTAATGTAGCAGATTTCAAGAGTTCATGTTAATGCCTTTTTATCCGGTTTTTGGTAAGATAGAATATATAAGTATGCAAGACATTAAACCTCCGTCCACACAATACAACTATGTATCTATAAAATTACTTTACTACAACAGTTCAAATTTAACAAATCCTTGAGTATAGTCAACTTCTTCTGAGCCATTGAGCGTTTGATTCCCTTTCACTGATAAATCTCAGTTTTTCAATGCTTTAATTCATTGGTATTCGTACCAATATATGACTTATTATCCTCCTTTCATATTGCTTTTTATGCTTCATATTCAGTAGTTTTGGTGCAGACAATAATATAATTCAGTTTCTGGGTAGTTTGTGCAAGTTGCAGTAAGTAATTTACAGTAAGTTGTCTGCAGGCTTTAATATCCAGCATTTCTAATCATTAGAATTCAGAAATGTATGTCAGAGGCGAACAAAACTGTGGTATTTTCACATAATTAAGATTAATGATGTGGAAGTCATCTTACTACTCAACCACATGAAGATAAACAGCTAAAGGGTTTGAGTAATCCAGTGTTGTTCTGACTTATCTGATTGTTCTCGTTGGATGAAAGAACTGATGATCACCACCAAAAAATAGTGATAAAAGTGTCAAGATAAAAACAGCCATTTTGGCTTATATCCCTACACGATAAGTAGAATAATTCTGCTCAGAATTTGTAAAATCGATGGCTAATGGGGAGTTGATTCAATAGACTCTATATTCACTTCCAATGAAAGGTATGATTCGAAAAGTAATTCAACAGGCGATGACTAGTATGCAATCAGCGGGCCATTCATTTTTATTGTTGCAGACTGCAGTGGAATGTTGCATCATTTTTTCATCAAAAGTCACTTATTCGCAATATAAACCTTCATAACCTTTTTCACATGAAACTCATATTTGATCATGAATTACATTTATCGAAAACATGGCTTCTAAATTTCCTTCATCATGTCGTAGGAGAATAGAATTAAAAAACTCCAGTTTACGTATTCAGGTAATTGTAAAACAGATGTAAAACTTGCCATGTACTGAGCAGTTTGCGCAAAACTATCCAATCATTCCTATAGCCGTTTTACAAGAGTTGAAGATAGTCTTTCGTCGTTCAGTGTAAACTAAGCTGAGTCACAGAGGAGAAATAATACAGTGACAAACAATGACATTTAGCCAGTAGGCTGTTAGATATATCAATGAAAAGTTTGTGCATTTTGGAATGGATTGATTCATTGCAAGTGAATCTTTATTAAAACTTTTACACACAATGATAAGATTTTATTTAGCTAAATATGCTCTGCTGAAATTTGCTTAGTGGTGGCTAGCAGTTGAATCAAGAAATTACGGGTGTCAGCAAATAAATATTACTAAAATATTCCAACCGTTGCTAGACTTTTACTTATACATGGAGGTAATCAAAAAAATAGATGCTCAGAGCTGGAACAAAACTTCAGATAGCGAAAATCATAACACAAATTAGCTGGAGGGGAAAGATAATTTGCAGATGCTTCGATATTGCCTGGATATGTTTTATGATGATTTACTTGGTTGTGGCTAGCAGCTGACGAGTCCTAAATAGGACAGAAGATGAGTTCTGGATTCCTCTACTAGTCATAATCAAGTAATTTATCATAATAAACATTCATACAATATCGAGGCGTAGTCATAGGGGCCCATACGCCAGCAGAGGTAGAACAGTTTGGTCCAGTATATCGACGGAGGATTAAAAGTATGTTGACAAATAGTAATAACTAATGCCTGTTTTACAAGAGTTGACTATCATGCCTCAGTGGCCCAATGCATAACGGTTTGGCGTTTGTAGCCATGGGTGCGAGGCTAGAGTCCCAGTGCATTCGCACTCAGTTGATGAGTCTCAAATGAAACGAAACACGCGTCAAGTATTCCTGTGCTAGCCATAAACGTGTAAATTTATTCCATTCTGCCTGAGAATGGGCTTCAGTGGGTGTTGGAATAAGAACATGCTATATTTCGGAACTCTGGCGTACAAATACAACGAAAGCATGTTCTTATAGCCAGTCAGGTTAAAAGCAGCTTCGACAATAAAAAGAATGGAAATACTGCAAATAATGAACATGAAGTTTACAACACCAATGAGAAATGTCAGTTTTTTGGTGAGTTTTGCTGAAATAAAGTGAATGTATTTACCATTTCTGCTAATTATTCACTTGTCACTTTGAAATATTGAAGGGTATTAACTTTGACTTGATAATCTGAATTCTTACAAGTAGAGCATGAGTTATGAACCCATACTACTCGCCAATCTCTTTGTCAGTACGCGTGAACGATTATGGCTGAACTATGGCAAATTATTTTCATTGGCTTTCTCGCTTCAGTCCGTTTATATAAAAAGGGCGTGAAACAAGTAAACTGATTAACGAATAATATTCCATAGAATACTATGGCTGAAGTCACTCAGCGTCAGGTCGATCGTTTGGTAGATGAACTAGGACCCCACTTAGATACAGAAGAACACCGTGTATGGCTTGGTTCGAAGGTGTATGAGTGGTGAGCTGAAGGAAATGCGATTGTTCATCTTTCTAATATTACAGGTTTCTGAAGGCTCGACCCGAATACATTTGCAAATTTTCACGACTTCAAGGTCTTGACGAAAGTAACGTCGCACAATCGGAAGGAATCAAGTACTACGCGAAAACTCTGGTTGACGCATTAGTCCCCATAGTCCTGGCAGCAGCCAACAAAAGTGAGCTGGACAAGCTATGTTTAAATGAAGCTGTTTATCACAGAACCCGTCAGGTCACAGAAGAAACTTTCAAGGTAAGTTATGTGTGATGGTCACTTATTTCACAAAGTGCTGTAGTGAGCTATTTTAATGGGAAATTATCTTATGTTTCGGTTCAAGTTGTAAAACAGGATACATTAGCATTATTTTCTCAAGCAATTATTTTGAGTTGACTGGAACTAAATGTGCTCTGTTAGAATTCGCTTATTGGTAGTTAACAGTGGAATACAGGAATGACAACCGGAAATTACAGGTGCTAGTGAATACGTGCACTGTACATTAGAAATGATGACTGAGATATGAGTTGGGGGAAGTTATTATGTACTTACCATTAAGAAGCTTCAATTTGTGACATTAAGGCTGTTTAGTTCCCCTTTACATACGGTGAATATTCAGTCGATTCCAGATAAATCGCACTCTGTGTGAGTTCACTTTATGTGTGCATTTACTTCTGATTACATTTGGTGGATTACGTATCACTAATTCTTAGCCCCATTAATTTGCGTCTCGTGAACCTCAAATCTAGAAAGATAGTTCAAACCTCGTGATAGGAGGCTTTAGACTTGGCCAACGCCTCTAATGGGATTAAGTTACTGTTTATGTACGTGTATATCTTTTACTTTGAGACTCATAAAAATTTGGTTTCGTGTTTCAGGATTCGTTGCCAGTATTTCTGGACATTTTCGACTATTATTTAGAAGATTCGGAGAACAAGGAAACAATGAAGCGAATACTGAGTTACGTGTTCTCATCAATTGGTTCTCAGATATAGACAAGGGGCAGGAGACCACACAAAAAATGGAATTTCGCAGAGCTGGAATTGAACAAGTTGATACAAATCAAGTTAACGTATTAGTCATGTTAATAAATCTATTCCTGAGGTATTTTTACTTAGCTTGAAAAATCTGTCATGCAATAAACAGTTTCAAATATCTGTGCAAATCTCACACTTTGATTTAATTTCAGTGTGCCTTGATCACATCAGTGAGTGGTTAGAAATGTAAGTAATGCGGATCGGTTGATAAGTTGAGGTATAGATATTTGATGCATAATTTGTGAATTTAGGTAATACTGTTACAGTGGTTTAAGTGTTGAAGTGAGTGTGCGGTCAGTGTGCTTGATCAATAGGTGGTTTCGTTACTGATTTACGTTCAAGTTTCGAAGTACCCTCTGAATTCCGATAACGCTATTAGAAGACGAAGATTATTCGAAAAATGTGATGTATTTGCGCAATACATTTCGAACAATCTGATCACACATTTACTTGTCAAGTCAATTTATATATGAAAATTAAAGGTCAAATATAGTGAATATGAAAAGGTTGTGACACTGGTCTTGGTAATATAATCAGATAAGGTTTACCAAGGTAAATTAAGTGAAACAACAAATTGTTTTTATACACACAGCGGGGGATTAAGTTTACGAATGGCTAACGCTTCGGCAAACTTCAGTATGCGCCCCTGATTATTCCTGTATATTATCTTAAACGCTGTTTTCGTATTAACCCTGTGACTCATTTCAATAATATGTTTTGCTATAGATGACGATGTCTGTCTGTCACCTGCACTTATCAAAGTTTGTGTGTTAAACTGTTTTTCTAGCCATTTGGGGATGTGTTCACCCACCCTAGTCTGCATTGAATGATTACTCCTCCCTATGTATGTGTGCCCACACATACATGTAAATTGGTAAACGCGGTAGGATGTGATGTAATCATTTGTGCGAGGTTGAGGTTTGTGGTGAAGCAGGTGTTTTGTCGTCTCAACAATGATAAGCTGAGCTGCATAGTATGTTTTACTGATAACAGATTTTAATCTCTGCTTCAATATCATACTACTTGTTTCCCCTCTGTACGGTACTTTAAGAAATATGCTTTTCTTCGGGACCGAGGAAACTGTAGGCTTTGGGATCAACTGTTTTTTACAATGGTTGACAAACTGTAATGGATAACCGTTTTCCACTAGAGTGTCTGTCAGAAACTTATTCTCATCATCCATCGTATCAGATGTACAAATACGTTGGATTCTATTGAACAAGAATCTTACCAAGCCTCTCTTATATTTCATAGGACAAAAACTATGGAAATTCAAATACTGTCCTGTCCAAGTAGACTTCTCATATATTGATCGTTTTATAGATCCATCTTCCCTCCGGCACAAGAGTATATCAAGAAATGCAAGTTGATGGTCTTTTTCTTCCTCACATGTCAGACTGATATGATCTTGTACGGTATTAAGCCTTTTTAACAACCTCTTGGCATCCTCATCTGTGTCACATATTACAAAGATATCATCCACTTACCTTCTATAGAGTGTGACATTGGTGATTAGATCTTGGGCCATTAGTTCAGTATGTGACATATATACGTCAGCTAATAACGGTCCTAATGGATTCCCCATGGCTACACCATCAATTTGCCGAAAGTGTTCACCTTCGAAAGTGAAATGAACCTTATTGCGCAAATACATCATATTTTTTAGATAATCTTCGTCTTCTAATAGCGTTATCGAAATTTATTAAAGGGACTAATTGTTTCAAATTTCTGAAAAGAATACCCACTGAATGTTATTTTCCGTGCACTGGTGGCTAGTTATTTGAAAATACCAGTGTTCTGATTTTTATGAGCAGAGTAAATTGACAGTACTTCTTAATGAGCCATTTTGATAGCATATAAGCTGGATTGTTCATAGAAGCTAAAAAGAGAGTTTTTCGTTATTACGTTGTTATTTGGAGTACCCATAGTGGAAAGTAGAGTTTTTATTTTCATTCTTTGTATCTTAAAATGTCAGGAGATGCGGATTTTTATTCTAACTTACTGTTTTGTATCTAAATTCTACCATGTTAACTATGGAGCAGGATTTTAAATTCCTAGATGCTGTCCCTTTTTTTTGAAGTACGACGGGTTGTTTAAAAATACTGTTCAGCGATTAGTATACTTCGACACAGTATGTACAAAAGAATTACTGTTCGGATGGGGGCGTTAGTTCAGTAACTGTTGACAAACACAAATTTCAGGCAGTTGACATTTATAAGATCAATGTAGGCTGGTATGGTTAAATAAAATGGGAAGTTCATCTTGAATCTTTCAAAGAGAGAAAACAGTGGTTATTTAGCTAAACATGGTTTGAATTTTTCTTCGTACTATGTTTATCGTTCGATACAGCAAGAAATAACACGAGTGTTAATTACTGAAGAGAAATTAGGCATAACTTCAAAGTTTGTTGGTAAAATGATGAACATATTTGTAAAAACGAGTTGAAAGGAGCGAACCTCCCACCGTTCAGTTGGCTTGAAATCTGTCTTAATTCTGGAAAGAATGTGGAACTGTAGGCGGAGAAAAATCGAGCTTGGATATTGATATAATTTCTCTGAGTATCCGGAAACAAGACTGGAATTGTTTAATAATCTCTCAATACATCATGTACTTAGTTTTAACTATAGGTTTGGGATTCTGAAACAGTTGTCCATCCAATTAGTGAGTGGATGCTACGCTAATCAGAAAAGACATCAACTATGTAGTTGATATTTTTTAGCTGACGTTTATTTTCTAAACTGATATATGAAGTTAGTGTCGATGAAAACCATAGGATTCAGGTTTGTCGAATGAAAATGTTGCTTAGCCTGCTAGTGATTTTCGTTTTGAAAGTAGTTTAATTCGAAAGAGTAACGAAAGATAACATTGTGTTGTAGATCAACAACTGAGTGAAAACCGCAAAGACTACACTTTAGGATTATTTTAGGTTTGTGGATTTCGACAGCTGTTTATGGGACTTAAGTGTAGAAAACTAGTCTGTCATCTTGTTTCTTTATATGATGAGCGAAAAAATCTTTCAGTTTTTAAATATTATATTTTGTGATTACATTTCGGTCGTTTATTATTATCATTAATTGTCCCTTGGGTTCCTAATGGAACATAGGGCTTCAGTAGCACGTCTCCTGTGAACTCTGTTCTCTGCAATCTTTTGAACCTGACTCCACGACAGCCCACAAGCCCTCATTTCCTCCTCGCATGATCTCCTCCATGTCACCATCAGCTGGGACGCCCAACTCGTCGCTTCCCATCTGGGTTCCACTCGAGGTCCTGGCGCGTGATGTCCCCAGTCGGCCTTCTCAGTGTATGCTCAATCCATCTCCACTTCCTCCTGCATATTTGTTGAGCGATAGGTTCTTGGTTGGTTCGTTGTCAGTCAGCCAGCCAGAGTTCCTTGTTGCTTATTCTTTCTGGCCATCTGATCTTCAGTAGCGAGCGTAGGTGGCAGTTGTTGATGAATGTCTGTAGTTTGTTGGAAATGCCTTTCGTTACACGCCTAGTCTCTGAGCCATACAGAAGCACTGACTTGACATTGGTGTTGAAAATCCGGATCTTGTTCCACATGCTGAGTGGAGTGCAGAAGATCTACACACTGGTTTCAGGCTAATGGACGCCTGTCTTGCTGTTTTTCCGATTCTGACTTTGACATCCTCGTGTGTGCCGCCTGTAATTGAGACGGTGCTGCCTAGACAGGTGAAATAGGCTACTTCCTTTAAGTTTCTCCTGTTGACGGTGATTGGAGTTTGCTGTTGGTGTTGTTGGTTGGGTATCTTCATCTTCTCTGTCTTCTCTATATTCACTTGAAGTCTCGTCTTCGCTGCCCTGCCTCTTCTGCCAACTTGTTAGTTTTTCGCCTGTAGATCTTCAAGTTTGTTTGACATTAGACATAAGTCATCTGTGAAATCCTAGTCTTCTAGGTTCTTTTCCGCAGCCCAGCGTATCCCCCTCTTCTCGCTCCCCACTGTTTGCTGCATGATCCAGTCCAGTCGACCACAATCAGGAATATCATGGGGGATAGTAGGCAACCTTGTTTCACTCCTGTCTTCACTTCAAAAGCATCACTGAGCTGAGATGTCCATTGTGAATTATTTGGCTGGCATGTGGCATCTTCATATTGTTGTTGAATGAGGCTGATAAAGGTTTGTGGTATTCCGTAGTGTTGAAGCAACTGCCAAAATACTTCTCGGTCGACGTTATCAAAGGCCTTTTCAAAGTGGATGAAATTGAGGTGTAGAGTTGACTGCCCTTCTATACTCTGTTCTATGATGATGCGTAGCCTAGCGTTGGAATTTAATCCGCACATGATTTGTACTTCCTGAATCCAGCCAGCCTGTTCCGGTAGTAGTTTTGAATGCAGCGCATCCTTTAGTCTCTCCAAGATGATGCGGCTTGCTTTAAGTGGACAGGAGAGTGATTCCACACCAGTTCTTGCAAGCACTGAGGTCTCCCTTGTTTGGGAGTTTGACAAGGTAACCCTTCTTTCAATCTGCAGAAACCTTCTCTTCATTCCAGACCTTCTGCAATAGTAGTGTGAGCATGTCCGCTGTTGTCTCTGCGTCTGTTTTCAGTGCTTCTGGTGGGATTCCATCTCGTCCTGCTGCTTCCCCACATTTCAACATTTTTATGGCGTTCAGGACTTCCATTGTTTTTGGAGGATTTATGTTCACTTGTAGTTCAGCGGCTGTGGGTGGTATTTCTGGACGAAGTGCAGGTGGTGGTCGATTGAAGAGCTTTTTAGAAGTGGTCAGTCCATTGTTCCCTTTGTTTCTCCTCTTTGGTAACTAAGTTTCCTTCACTTTCTTTCATTGGTCTCATCTGTGTTGATCTCTTCCCTCCCAGATAGTAACCTGGTTATTTGATACAATGTTGTCAGGTCTCTGTCTCTCCTACCAGCAGCCTGTTCTGTTTCACTTGCCAGTGTGTCGTAGTGTTGTGTGTCTTTTGTCTTTGCGTGCACTCTTTTTCACTTCTTTGTCCAGTGTTTTGCACGTTGCACTCAGTTCGTCTTTTCGTTGTGCGTCCTTGCACTTGTTCATCTTGTGTTTCACCATCTCCCTCTTCCTCCTCTATCAGTTTGCATGTCGGGATCTGTCGAGATCCATTCCTTGTCTTGTCTCTTC